AGGAGCCGGGGGGGGGGGGCAGAGCAGCCCTCCCTTCTCTTCTTCAGTGCTGAGCTGAGGGGAGTGTAGTGAGGCCCTGGCAGGACACTCTGATTAAGGAGCGGTTCCCACCCCCGCCCAACTTCTGACCAGCTCAGCAGAGAATTGATAACACAGGGTTTATCATCCCATTAAAAAAAAAAAAGACAGAGGGACATTACCAGTTACCTGTTGATTCTGCCTTTGTCATGTCTGCCACAGCATGGACCATAGCCAGCATGTGGTCTGATAACTAATGCTGAGAGGTGTCTGTGCAAGGCAGATGGGCACAGGAGAATCCCTGCTTAGCAGGGAGTGGAGAGGGGAGGGTGGAGGAGGGAGAAGCCAGGCAGCAGGGCCAGCCCATCCTATCCTGCGAAACCTGTGGCAACAGGGGGCCCCTGCAGCCAAGGGGCCCTTGTGCCCAGCCACTCACCACCCCTCTCCCCTCCCTGCTGCTGGCTTCTTCAACCGCTCACCACACTCCCCCCTCCCCCGCCACTGATGCTGGCTTCTTCACATCAGGGGGCCCCAAAACTACACCTTGCAGGGGGCCCCCAAAATTGTGGGCCAGCCCTACCAGGCAGACACCTGCAGTCTCTGCCAGAGCTCCAGGCAGGGAGCAGAGGGGAGGGGCCGGCCCTGCTGTGGAGCAGAGAGCGCCGTCCAGCCCAGAGAGCATGCCGGGATGCTGGGGGAGTCTGATCTAACCTAAACCAGCAAGGTGTCTGGGACAGACATTGCATAAACCAGTTTGAGCCAAATCAGTTAAGTCTGATACTACATTCAACCAGGTTTGTCTCAAACCAGTTTCAGCCATTTTGAAACTGGTTTATGTGCACTGAACATCTGTTCTGTTACAGGTTTAAACCAGTTTCTGATCACTTAAATCAGTTTATGTGTAATGTGTATCCCTAGCTCAAGGTAGCACTTCTCAGACCCTATGATTTGCTGGTAAAAGTGTTGTCTGAGAAAGGGTGCCATTTTAGCTTTGTTTCTCACAAAGGATACTGATACCATTTGATGCACAACAAAGATCTCAAACTTGCAGAAAGATCTCATCTCCTGAACCTGTGTGGAATCCAGTATACTTGAAGTCACTGGACTCAACATGTGACCAGCAAACTAAGAGATGCAAACAGAAAAATGGGGCTCAATTAACTAACCATACAACCTTAAAAATAGATCCTTGGAGGTATAAAAAGTGTGTTGGCCCAACTGCCTCTACCTTATTCGGACATGTCTGCAGTGAATTCAACAAGTATATTTACTCCTGAATGTAGTAATAGCAAAGCTTATTTTTTAAAATAAAGCTATGAAGGTTTAGATGAAGTAAATCAAAATGTATTTGAATGTTTTATTTTATAAAAATGTTTTACTTTATAAAAATACCTGCAATAGGACATATATACATACAATAAAATCTTCTCATCACTGCATGCACAAAACATTTAGCCACAGCAACACAAAATTGTGCCATATCCACATTGCTTGGACTTCTACACCTAACGCTGAACAAAAATATTAGTTTCAGCAGCACACATTTTATCTTTCGTTGTCTGTTTTTTTGTGGACAGAAACTTACATTCTTCAAGAAGTTTTGCTTTTTTTTCCCCCCATCAGAATCAGCAGGTGAATGGGTAAACAAAGATGAAAGGAAAACCAATTGTTAGTAAGAAAGAAATCAGCATGTTATCTAGGGAAGGTAAGTATCTCTGACAAATGCAAAGAAAACATTTGCAATTACCACACTGAGATCTGAAGTGGCAAAACTGACAGTTCTGGATCAGTGTACAAGAACCAGTTCTGAAAATGTTGACTTTTAATAACAATCCTGGTATATGATTTTAACATAAAATGGACAAAGAACATTGATACAGAAGTGATAAGGTGTTAGGAGATCAGAATTAATGAAGTGTACTGACCTCCTGCTGCAACCAAAATCAATCTACCCATACGGAAGAAGAAAGGAAATGCTTCAGGCTAAAATTACTCTTACAAAGACAAAGGCATCTAATTCTATTTTAGAGACATGCAATTACTTTTGGTTTGAAAAATAAGTGAAAAGTACAATTAATCTTAGTTGTCACACGCTTCACTGTACGACCTTACCTCATATTACTTACTTTGCATAAAGTCTGCTCATCAATAATATTTTAGAACATGAAAAGGACAAACTACTCTACTGTTGATCATTGCTTGCTCATTTTGACCTAGTTCAATAATTATCAGTGTTCTTAAGTAGTCTCCTTTGTTTAATAAAATAGTAGAAAATATATAGCACATGAGGTGATCAGATTATAAGCATGGCCACATTTCAGAATGCAACCTGAGAGCTTGAATGCCCCGATGAAGTTGCAGAACTAGGTGCTAGTTCCTTGCACAAGATCCAAGAAAAGACTTGGAAGTCTGAACTGGAATTTTAGTGGAATGACCAAGTCCAAAACTGCAATCCCGAAAAGAAATAGTAGGTGGATTTGTCTCAAGTATGTAAAGAAATATTAGTATGTATTACTATTTTGAAGGAACCTATCCCTGGACACACTTATTCACATAGGACCTGATTTACCATGTGCAATAGGTTTGGGGTTTCAAAAAAATGACTCCTGGCTTACACAGGTGCAGCAGTAGCTCAGCAGGCCAGAGTCTCCTCACATGGGTTTATCCACGAACTTGCTTTGTAAGAGTTAATAGACTTAATGAAGAATCCTTGCATTTGAAAGCTCATCTAACTTAAATTGCAACCATGCAATTGGTCCAATAAAAGATATCACGTGTAAAAATCCTTGCTTCACGCATAATTCCTGGACCATCACATCTACAATATCACTCCAACATTCACTACTGTCACGGGGTGGGGCCTACGAGCGGCCGTGATCCCGCTAGGCCCCCCTTGCCGTGCCAATTAGGAGATCCAGCACCCTCTTAATTCTCGCCCACCA